GGTGTTGGGTGGGAGAGGGGGGTATTTGTTTCTTTGTTACTGTGTATGAATGGGCAACATAATCCTGGTCAGTGGTCGTTTTCCTGGAATTGGCAACTCTACTTACTCAATTACTGAGACATTTTAGTGTACGTGTGTACGGACTATATTATGAAAAGTTTTGCCAAAGCGTAAAGCGTATTTTTAAAAGCCAAGCTAATTTTCTTCTTGTTAATGAGGAATGTTCAATAATTTTTCCCCTCGACTATAAATCTACGAAACTTGGTGAATGTGATTTCTAGTATTTTATTTTTTTTGAGGGGGGAGGGAGGGGGGACGCTGCATGTTGAGTTTTGAAAATTTCCGATGAGGGATTTTTAACTTGGGAGCACTTTTAGTGTGGGTAGTCCTTGATATTTGTATTTTATTCAGCCGTAAAACTCTTATCAAAACTAAAACATTATGCTCTTTAGTAACGCGTCAAATCTTCAGCACTTGTACGACTTATTTGCATCGCAACAGCTGTAAAACTCTGACTTAAACTGTAACTAAGTTTGCTTCTTTTTACCTATCAAACATCGTCCATATCTCCCCTCTTTCTTTTTTATGTTTGTTACTCTCTTGTAACACCTCTTATCTTCTGGCGCTCATATGCGCTCGTACGAGCGCCGTAAAACCTCTCATCATCATCATCCAGTGCCTTGCCGACTGGCGTGGGCGATCATGGACCTCCACTTCAATCTGTCTTGCGTTGCAGCAATGGTGTCTGTTGTTCTTGCTGCTCCCAGCCATGTTGTCATCTTGTCCAGTATCTTTTCCCTCTGTCTGCCTCTGCCTCTCTCTCCATCAAACTTGCCTGTTGTTACAATATTCTCCAATGCTTCTTTCCGCATTGTAAAACCTCTACTAAAACTAAAACTAAAACTGTAACTAACAACGAACGTCCCTCCCACAGAGCCACCATCACCCCCCATGGGACCCCTCCAGTTCGCCAACATCACCAAGCGAGGTGGCCGAGTGGCGTGGAAGCCAAGCGAGAAGGACGGAGGTGCTCCCGTCTCTCATTACGTGATAGAGAAACGAGACGCCTGGAAGACATCTTGGCTGCCCGTGGAGCGAGTGGGCGGGGACAGGCTGACCTGTGACCTCTCCCACCTGCAGGAAGGTCAGGAGATCTACATCCGGGTGATGGCGGAGAACGTTGCCGGAGTGTCCAAACCGCTGGAGGGGGAAACCCCTCTGGTGCCCAAGTCGCCATACAGTGAGTGGTTGTTGTTGTTGTTGTGTGTGTTTGTGTGTTTGTGTGTGTT